TGCGCTTGCAAGCATACCTTCTGGATGTTCTTGTGTCAATCTTAACGTGAAAATAGAGGCAACGATTTTCACCCGAATTAAACACTCAAACTTTATGGCATATTCCCGTACCAAAGCTGAGAATTCCCGGGAGAAAAGCTTATCACATGGCGCCATTCCAAAATTTGAAATTTATGAAGTAACTAAAAGCCTCAATTTATTAAATCGATGCAAGGGTTTCAATAGAAAGTGGTGTGTTCTCCTGAAGGACCACCGTAGTGATAAATCGCGAGAAGTTTGCGCGAGTGTAAGTTATGACAGTCAACGGGTGCATCCCCACTCGTCACGTAGGCTCTACAGGTTTTGTGTGCCTTGAGCAGGTGCATCGGTCAGATAAGCATTGAGAGCAGTATATAAACTCCAATCGGCAACAATTGCGATAGGTTGCGTTTTACATTCGAGTTCTAAGTGCCTATGCGAGAGCTACTCAATTCTATATATCACTGCACTCTTACTTCGAGCTACGAAATTCTATCAATCAACTTTAGGGCCGAGCATACTTCACGCGATTTCAGTCGCGACGCGATTTGGCAATTCGCCAGAAGTTTTCAGATCCAACACTAGCAAACTGCACATGCATAGTGTGTATAACTTTACGCGGATTGATAAAATGCCTTATCTTCTGTACATTCAAAATGTGCTTACAGTGAGTTATGGACAGTTGGAATATCGCCAAATCGCGTCGCGACTGAAATCGCGTGGAGTATGCCCGGCCCTTAACTCATCATTCATTCTCTGACTGAGAGACACGAGCACGCTTTGCGTACGTCTGATTAACAAGTTCATGAGTACGTTTCAACAAGTTTCGGTGAATTACTATCAAGGATTTGTGAAAGAACATGTACGAGCTTGTAAAACAACGCAAGTTTGAACATGTTCTTTCATGAATTCATAGAATTATTTTCCAAAAGCGTTAAAACGCATTCTTAGACTTGTTAATCAGACATACGCAAAGCTGCTCGCGTCTCCTAGTCAGAGGATGAAGGAATACTTCCCTTTGCGACACGCGTGTGTTTTGTGATTAATGAAAGTAATATTAAATTTCATGGAAGTTTAGGTAAATTTGAGCCACCATTTGATTTCATTGTCATAAACTTACTGGATCATATCGAAAAAAATTTCTTCAAAGGCTTTCAAATCGCACCATTATGGGAAACTTTGCAGGACTGCAGCTCTTGATTATATCATAGTTATATCACAGACGATATCTCTTCGTTTATAATACATTTTTTGCAGCATCGCGGTCTACTTCAATGCGAATCTGAGCGCATCTGTGTACAGCACCGACGATATGTGCATAGCTGTATTTACATCATTTTTCGTTCAACGGAATCAACGGAAATTTTTTCCACTTTTTTTACCTCGATTCAAATTCCCTCTTGGTCTTGCACTAGCTTTTTTTTTATATGAGCGCACGAGCATTGATAGCCAGATATATTAGTAAATATTATTTTGAACTGTGAAAAAAACGAGGCCAGTAAATATAAAATTGACAAGTTGGGGTATATATTAGGTTGGCTAAAAATTAATTTCGGTTTTACCTGCAAATTTCCATAACAATCTTCGCTGTCCTTTTTTACCCATGATTTTTTGAAGATGAGAGACCAAAGCCTCTACTATCATATACCAGTCATCCAGAATTTACAGTTTTCATTAAACAACAGTCATGTTCCAATATGGCCAAATTTCCTGAAGCTCAGTTCTCCAGCTTTGCAAGCTTCGTTTTCATGCTGTGATGGATATAGAGATGGTTAATCTGGCATGTGGATATATCCAAGTTTTCTCTATTTAGCGAATAGAATTAAAATTTGTGAACTGCTACTTGCAAAATTGGTTATTGTAGGAACAAATTTTTCATATTTGCCACAAGGAGAAAATTGGCGTTTCTCATTTCTTCGCGCCTTTTTGAACGAACAGGTTCTAGTTGAAAAATTTACATTCCAATCCCCAAAGTGCTCTTCCCAGAGATGCCAAATAACAGACAAAAATTTGTCTACAGCATTTCTATGAGCACAAAAGCGACCGAAAATTATTATCAGCCGACCTTCTAACAGATCCACCCAAACTATAGTAGATAAAACTAATCACCCTTCTCTTTGTAAAAGCTGCTTCCACGTGTACGGCCACGGACATACAATAGCCCTATAATGGTCGCTTTGTTATGTATTTGCACTATTCTTCGAATGCACTGGTTTTGAAAAATTTACGAAACTTTTGTTCGTGCAGTCTCTTCGTATTACTCCCATGCTTCTACAATGTCTTCTCAAGCATGATAGTGACTTCACTACCAGTCCCTTCCACTGGAGGTTGCATGGTGCAACTACACAAAGCGGCTTTTGGAATGGGACGACTATAGTTAAGCACAAGACTTTTTGTTTCCTTGTCGACGTTAACGGTACAGAAATCTTTTCATCATTTTGCACCGCGATGATATTCCCCACTTCGACTGTATGATTTGGCATTTCACAAGCAAAATTCAAACAATAAAATGGCACGCAGACGTTCTATACATGTACGATGCGGAGCACAGTAACAATTCAGATTTGATGAGTTTTTTCCTGCATACGTGCAAGTTAATAATGACAGATGATGATGACTGATGTACGTGAGGAGTGTGACTGAATGGTAAAATGTGAGAAAAATGTGCCGTTGAAATGTCGAAAACAGCTGCAGAAGATGCGCTTTTTGCATACAGTAAGTGTTGACAAGTTCTTGAAGGGGAGGGCACAAAACGACCTGGGGGACATCCGTAGAATTCGCTCATTCACGTAGACGTCTCTTACATTGGACACCCCGATATTTTGTGGATCCACTTCATCATCCATTCTGAGACTAGGACATTTGATTTATTCCATCGGACACATTTCTAACAAGCTCGAACATGTTTTCTCACAATTTCCGGTAAATTATCCAAAACGAATTGAAGAGCAAGTATGAACTGTTATCCTAAGCAAACCGCTTCCGAATAATCTAATCCCAGAAAAGATGAAAATTGAGATTGGCTGAAGCTTCCCAATAGCTTCATCCAGAGTGCTGATGACCCAAAATTGCGCTATTTGGTTGTTCAATGTAGTCGTTCAATTAAACAAATTGCCCAGTATGTCCTACTAACTGCATTGATCGTGCTATAACCTGTTTACCAAAATCTGGTACACGAGGTGCACCTAACTGACGTCGCCATTTCCAAACTGCTTCTCTTATTCTTTTCGAAGATTCTGTAAAATTCCAGCGGTGCATTTAGAAACGTTACATGGTAGCTGGTGATATAAACATCCATGAGTGATAGCTTCAGCATCTTTTCGCAACAAAGTGCTCTTTCATAGCGAAAAAAGCTGACATTATACAAAGAGCGCTTTTGTTTCAGCTTTGACGCTGCGGAATTGAAATTGTATTCTCGTCGCCACTTTTAATACAACGGCGCTACTGCACAACTTTCCCGCTGTTTACATTAGAACATCTCTGCCTTGTTGGGGACATGTAGTCCTTGAAAAACCTAATTGAACGCGCCGTGTTTTGAATAGCAGCAGGCAGCGGTTGACGCGAAAGGCGGTTTCATTCGCTCCGAATTTAGCGGTCATCATCCATGTTATTTTCAGCGTTGCACACAGTGTTTTAGCCAAAAGTGTATTTAAGAGTTTGTAAAAATATGTCTAAACGAAGTGCGCGCTCATAATCGCTTGTGAAAAGCCTATCACGTCGGGACCCCCACGTCTCCAGGCGCCCTGCGCGTTGGTTTTCAAAGCGAGGCGTGGGCAATTGGAATTTACAAGGCCTATGTCTACTTCGGGTGTAGGGCGTTAGGCGACAAACCCAATTTTTTGTATCCCAAAGAACTCCCCGTGCAAAACGTCTCCTCCGCCAAAAACAGGGGGGTGGGGGTCGGGGCCGGTACATTACCAGACGCCAATGAAAAAATGGTGCATAGTTTTGAGTTAGGGGATTTACGTTGCTTGCGTTTTGCACGTTTTGTCGCCTAACGCTTGCCCTCCGTCTACTTCTAGTCAGTTCCATCCCAATGTGTGTAATTGCACACACCATACACTTCTAGCGTCTCTTCCTGAATTCGGATTTGCCGTCCTTTTGGAGGGGTTTTTTTTTTCGAAGACCGGAGATATCGAAATTGAGGGAAAGAGATGTCGAGAATCAGACTGTGGAAGTGATCTCCGGGTCGCGTGTTCGAGACCGGCCATACTATTCCAAGAGGTGGTTTCTGCGATTCCTGTAATTCCTGCAATTCTGTGATTCCTCCATTTCCGATGTGCCGCAGAGCGCTTTGAGAAGTTCAGTATGCATCGTTTTTTTCCACAATGTACATTGTAGTGGGACCCGCAGAAATCACAGGAATTGCAGGAATCACAAAAATAGTATGGCCGGTCCCTTCAATATGGAGCGCGCAATGTGTGCAGTGTGTGCAAACGCACACATAATGAGATTTGGGCTATACTGCCTGAATTTTCAAGATTTTTTTTCAACAGAATTGATTGCACTCAAGTCATCCTTCTACTATTAACTGCTGTCCCATGTGCACTTTCATTCCTCACCATCCTGCTGGACGCTCAGCGTCCCGCATCATAACGTTATATGATAGCTTTCGTTGGTGAACCTATCAGTTACATTTCTTGGAACGATTGTGAAGATCTGTAGTAGTTCGTTAGCCTTGTTCAACCTCTCAGGATGAAGCACTTGAAATCTCAGAGACAAGGCCTCCCATCAGATAAGTCCGTCTACAGTTAAGTCTTGAGTAATCTGAAAGTCCTAGGACTTATCTGACAAGCTTTTAGGGCAGTCATAATGGAAAAAAGGCCTGCAGAGTCTATATGGCGCACTTATCTGGGTCAAAAAAGCGGACTAATCGTAAGGTTTTAGGGTAAGAGTCCCAACTTGATCTTTATACAGGTTGGCAAGCTAATTTGTTCCCCAAATCTTCGGAGTACGATAAGAGTCTTTCGACTAGACTAAAAATGGACATCGGTCGTAAAACAGTGACGGGCAATATTTATGAAATTTTCAACATTCGTAAGTATCTGAATAAGATGGGTCTGCTCTAATCCCAACATCCCGAAATAGGAGAAACTTTGACGACCTAGTATGTTCCATTAAAAACTCAAAGAAGCCCTTCGCTTGCCCACCCTCAGGATAAAAGACTTTGTTTTAGGTTTAATGAATGTGAAAGAGTAAAGTTATAACACTATAACAGTTGCGCTCTCGACTCGCACACTCATTGACGTTTAGAATCTCTGTTTAGTCTTCGCAATCAAAGTTTTTCTCGTAGCAACTTCAAATTAGCTTTCAAACCAATTACTTTTTAAATTCTGCCTCATGAGATAGGCTCGAACTGCTTTGAGTCTCGGACTCTGTTACTCGTGTCATCTGCCTACTGCCCAAGACTTGGCATATGCTGTCAATAAGAAACTCTTGAAGATGCAAATAGTCTCCTTCAGAATCAAAAAACTACGAGAGTCTTCAAAGGGATTAAGAGGGAAGGGGAGGCGGGTTCCTTGTTTCAATAATCATTTTGGGAATCTCTGATAGTCCACTTTGAAACAGAACGTAAATCGTCAATGTAATAGTTGTGTCAATCAAAATAACACGCGTACTTGCAAATTGCACAACTTTTATTCCGTGTACTTGCTGTTCGTTGCAAAGTTCTTCGTCGTGGAGCTCTCCAAACCAAAGGTTACCGTGGTCGAGGGCGGGTTATCGCAGTTCGGTGTGTCTTTTCTTTTTCTTGATCGATAGAGCGGGTCCGAGTCCTGTGCCACGAGCGCGAGGCCTCCGACGCAGTTCAGCCAAAGCCAGTGTGCCAGCGACACGTCCGATCGGTATGCCGATCGCGTGCAGTCAACTTTTGTTTGTAGAAAGTCGTTCAAGTCGCTTTCCGTTCACGTGAAGTACGCTACAATCTACTCTCGTGGTGTTCAGTTTTTCAACCCAGAAATGTCTGCAGTCATTGCACGTGATTTATTGCAGGTAGCCACGCTCACAATGACGCTTTCTACAACCGTAGTCAGAGGAACGAGCAAACTCTTGTCGAAGGTACTTTTTATTTCTTGCTGTTTTTCCTTCTTATTTCCTTTATGACACGAGAACACTCGATACCTGTCTCCCCATATCAAAGTCCGCTGCGCCGTTTCTGAGCGTTCTTTGGACAGTGGGGCAGTTGCGATCTCTGCTACACCTTCCTTGCAAAAAGTCCACGGCTGGAAGTGAAAGTGTGTGAAGCAAGTAGCAGTAGACGACTCTTTCTGTAGTCTTAACGGAATCGACCTATATTTATGGATATCTGTAAAAGTACTTCTTCGATCTAATAGAACACCAAATAATAATCTTGCATCCTTCAACTCCACAAGGTTATTTCACAATGCTTACCCACTTTATCTTCTCGTTTTCCCAAAGATATCTGTTAAAGGCTGGAAAGACCGCAATTTTTCCAGGAAGATTTTGAATAGTAAATGTGTTTCAACTTCTTCGAGCACCTTTAGGAAGGAAGAATACTTTCTGCAAGCAAAAATTGCCATGTAACTGTCATGCAGTTTCTGAATGAGAGACACAAGCACGCTTTGCGTACGTCTGATCTAACAAGTTGTGCGCGTTCTAACGCGTTTCGGTTGATTAGTATCAGGAATTTGTGAAAGAAACCTCTTCGAATTTGCGTTGTTTATCAGACGATTTTGAACATGTTTCACGTCCTAGTAGTAAAGCCTTAAAACGCATCAGATTGATTCTCCCATTATTTTGATTCATCTATCTTGCAACAACAGCCATATGTTCCTGATAACTCTCAAGATTCACGTCTACATTGTGTGGGCTCGTCTCAAAATAGCATCTATGCAAAACGCTTGAAAAAACGTCTGTCATTAGTCTTCGGAGACAAATGCTCCCGAGCGCATTGACCTGTGCAATGAAGTTTTTTGTGCCTGCAAGCAACTTTCTTGTAAGTGTATCTTGGTTCCATTTACAATGTTATTTAGACAGAAGAAACGAAAAGTTTTCACTCTAACGTATGGCTTAGCAACCGCATGGGACCACTGTAATGAGAGCATAGGCGCTCCAGCGTGGCAGCATCTAACATATGTAAGCTCATTTACAATCTACAAAAGTTGAGTCTGTCATGTGTACAATTAGAATGCGTCTTTCATAAGCGTGATCCATATGGGGCCTTTTCTTATCTATAGTGTTTTGCGATTTGTTGTAATAAATCTGACGTTCCTAGTAGGTGCACTTCGCACTGTTTCTTCGAGTATCAGTGAAAGTGAGTATTTTCGCGCATCTCGGTTGGAAATTTCAGTGATCGACTTCCGAAACCTTGCAAACGTGTTATAAAAAAAATTGTCTGATGTACACTTCAGAGGGCATCTCGTGATTGTGGGATGAGGGTGTCCATCTTTGTTTTTCTTACACAGGAAAATCATAGGATATGATAAGTGAGCAAGCTGTGTTTACATTATTGTAGTGTCTGTTTGAACACGAATTGCTGTAGCGTCCCACGTTTTTGTTACCCTTCAAACAAGACATGCTTCTGCTTCACCTATGCAAAATTGGACAGATAAAAACTAAAACGTCATTAGAACCATACTTAGTAATGCGCTTCTCTGTAATTACCACTCGGATATCAGGCGAATTAAGCATATGAGCGATAGAGTTTGAGTTCTATTCTTCAATGCTGCATATCATTCTTGATTGTTAGAAAGATTTCGTTTTACCATGGTGGAGTCAAAGACTTCACATCTTGTAGGATATCCAGGTATAATCCATCATTTTTCGCTGAGTTCGGTTTTTAGGAGACGCTGCTCCTATCTCCTTGTCATAAGGTATCCTCATCAATCTCGCGCGAGTTATCTTGTTGACTTTACTCTTATCGCAAATCAGTTTCAAACTAGTTGAGTACGTGCAGTTCTTTTTTGGCTTTCTTTTCATGTATCTGACCTTCTACAACTTTTTCTCTAATGATGGATGAGGTGCTCCTTATCAGATCCAAAGAAAGAAAAAGTGATGTTTTGGCAGGACACTGTATTTATGACACAGAAACAAGGTGATTCTTCATATTTTCTCACACTTTTTTGAACAATCAATGTTAAAAATTTGGATACACAGATTAGCGTCATCGCGCGCTGCGCTAGACGACATAACGGCAGCACGTCTTCTTAATTTGTTCATATACGAGAACTAATTTTCAACCTTTTTATTTATTTATTTATTCAATACGCTCTTGGCGTTTTTTACAAAAAGAACAAAAAAGAACACACAGTTACTCATACAACCGCAACCAAAGTCCACGATGAAGTTTGGGTCTAAACCATAATCTGGTTAAGAACTACGTGTTGATTGAGCTTGTATGTGACTGCTCCAGACTACAATTATCAGAATTCAAAAATGTGATCATGGAGATGATACCCGTGCCCACATCGTCGCCAGCAAAACGTCCCTGAGATATTCTACCTAACCCAGGTTTGCATGGTGGATATACCAGGGTCGAGAAAGAGCTGTGGCACACAAGCGCCGAATACAACCCCCCCCCCTCTTCTCTTCCCATGACCTAAAGGCTCTACCATGCGTGACTAGGCACAAATTTGTAATTATCATGTCAAATAAGCACAATGAGCTAAGTTTTAGCAAATTCTGAGGATTCCCAATATTGGAATACACCCAAGCAAACTGAACATTTTCGAAGATGATAAGTATTTTAAAAGTGAATTAGCTAACCACTTTTGTATTCATTACCAAGCACTACTCCCTATCTTCCTATGCCATAAATCCTGCTGCAAATATCCATCAAACTGTGGAATTAGAAGCAGGCCAAAATCTCGTTTGTCCCATTTTTCGCTTGCAATGGCTGCGCTTTCACCAGCTTTTACTCAGAGCGAAAAAATATGAAGCAGCCCAAATTACTCTTATGAAAACTACAAGACTCAAGCTATCAAACATATGTATTTTGTTTGCTAAAATTCTTTTTGGAGTCAAGCTAATGGGGTGTGGCACCACTCCTAAAAAGCTGTGGCAGCCAAATGAGTTGTGGCGGCCACAATGAGTTGTGGCGCCGCCACAGCTTTTTAGGAGAGTTGTGCCACACCCCATTAACTTACCTTCAAAGCATTCAAATCTCTGCCTTTTTCATGTGGTTGCTACTGCTAAACCTTCTTCTTCACATAGCAGGAATTTCATTCAAATTTGATTCTCCTGGGGAAAGATATAGTCGTTTTTCCTTAGCTGAGATAATGGAAAACACTGCGAAAATATTGGCACGGTAATATGCTAAGTCTGTGCTACTATGTGAATCGCGAGGTAAGGCGGCAAGAACAAGTATATCCGTTAGCCTGATCCTCTTAACTTTCTCAAAAGTGATTTGAGCCTGATTGGTCTTCTCTAGTCTGGGAAATTGAAAGCGAAAAATGGGACAAACCAGATTTTGGCTTGCTCTTAATGCCAGAGTTTGGAGTCAGTTGAAGTAGGATTCCTAATACGAGCAAAGAATCAGTAGTGCCTTGTAATGAGTGCAGAAAGAAGTAGTTTCTCACTTTTAAAACGATGTTAGCATGTCGAAAATGACCACCTCACTTGAGCGTCTTTATATTTGGAAACCTCAAAATTCGCCGTAAAACTTGGTCCTCAGGGTTCATTTGACATGTTAATTACAAAAATGGTGCTCTTATGCTTTTAGGATTCTCTTAACACATTGACGACAGCGTGACCCACATGGTGGGTCATGGCTTAAAATTCGTCAGAATGAATACAATCTTGAGGTAAATTAGTTTCAGAAGTTCTCTTACGCTCTGATTCTACTGGTTACTGCCGCATTTCTTTTCTGCTCCTCAAAATTACCGTAGATTCACTTAGATGACGATCTGCTCAATTTTAGTTGAGAATTTTCAATTTTTTCGTGGAAGGCATTGTCCCACAAGGCAGACAACTGAAAAGCGCGTTGTCGTCAACGTGTTAATATGCTTACTGTGCGTGTACGACGGTAGGCCAAAATATCAGTGCTGGCATTTTGTACAATGGGCCGATTAGACATTGTTAAATGACATAATCTCGCTAACATCACTATCATTTCGATAACGACCCCCCCCCCCTCTCTTCCTGACCCCTCTACGACCCCTCCCCCCCCCCCCCCCCAGGTGTGGCGTGCCACGGCGTGTGGGCACACTTGACCCTGTCTCACCACATGAGGCTGGTAGGAAGAGCCCCATGGCTCGAGACTAAACCTAAAGGCATCGTTACCCAAAATTTCCACCTCCATGTTTTTGCCGTTCCAGGGCCTTCTCTTACCCCCTGATTCCGAATATCAAGTCGGAAATCAGCGAAAACCACGAAAAAACCCCCGTTTTCACAACGCACACTGCGATTTCTTCGGAACGGTGATTGGTTGGGCGCGCATGGATGGGCGGGACGAACGTCACGCCCACTCAAAGGGGAGGAGCCAACGTGGCGAATCTGTCATCCGAGCGATTTTCGGAGCAATTTTCTCGCTTCGTAAGCAACTTTTGCCAGCTCGAGTTGGCTAAGTATACAGTTGGGGGGGGGGGCATTACTGTTAGGCTCTCGAAATCTCAGACCCCATTTTGGATGGGTCTTCAAATATGTTGGAGGGTTGTAATGAATCATATGTGATCGAGAAGGACATCAGAGCTTTGTCCCTAGTTTTTTACCGCAATTATATTCCGCAGCTTAAGCCTTGATTTAACAAAATCCGGAGTAAAAAATCGAGACCAAATAGATCGGAAGTTTTTCTTTGAACTATTATTTGAAATAATCAGAATCACGGTTTTTCACACTTTGATTGTATGACGAAGTCTTTTGCCGTGAAAATGACGTTCTTCGAGCATCGCTAGAGTACATGAGACGGGTGGACGCAGCTTGAGAAAGAAGTAGTATTAGGGTGCTTTCATACTACGCCGCAGGACGCAGCACTGCTTTGCCGGTTATGGATGTGCATCTATATTTACTGCATTTTCGTGTTCTCCGAGAGGTTCCTTCACAGCGAGCGAGCTTATATTTCACTGCGACTGCAGCGGCGCACGCAACAGGACGCGGCGTGCTGCTGCATGCTCCCGCGTGCTGCGGTAGGCTGCTGCTCCTGCGGCGTAGTATGAAGGAACCCGTAGCATTGAGGACAACTGTCATTTCGCCTCTATGGGACGGGAGTTACACATAGTGAAGGAGTCAAGAGTTTTAGAGCACGACCTTCTTTCTCTTAACAGAAGCTTGTAGGTTGGTGACTATTCACGCCGGCATAAAGGCTGCTGCATGACGAAGGCGCAGAAGCAGCATTAGTTGAGCGGGCGTGAACGCGGCGCGCGCGTATTTCACCGTTGTAGATCCTGCGCCTCATGCGCTCTGCGGCTAATATAGCCGCCATCGCGCCCAAAGGTATTGCGCCTTCGTCATGCCGCAGCCTTTATGTGGATTGCAAGACGAACATGTCATGCCAGTGAGAGAAGTTAAAGAGCCATCATGTTCTTATTTGTTCAGCGTTGTATATGTATACAATACATGTATGATACATTGCTTCGTGGTCATGGCATGATTAATCGCGAGGGAAAGAATAGACGCGCGCCACCGTGTGCGTGTGAGACTAAAATTTCATGATTACACATTTTGGCGGGGAGAAGGGGACTAACAAGGAAATGGTCAGACGTCGAAGTGGCCAAACCAGAGAAGCTGTATATCATTCGATGCAGTATAAAACGCTGACTTCGAATCTGTCTTCCTTATCTGCTTCCCGCTTCTGTGGATGAAGCTACAAACGGTTTTATTGCGAAAAAATCATACATAAAAACAGCGAAATTGAGCACATTGTTGCGCTTTTAGCTCAGCTTCTGGCTTCAAAAAATTATAAGTAAACTGGCGACATGTTTTGGCCCAGCATTGAGGCGAACGTGGCTCTGTGCGGCTAAATTTTCAATTTCACGCATAATTTCCCAGCAAAGTAATGGTCTTTAATGGCTTATAGCTTCGTCCAGAAAAGCGATGAGCAGGTAAAGAAGACAGATTTGGAGTCAGCGCTTCATGCTGCATCTAACGGTATGCAGCTTGTCTGGAATGGGCACTTCGATTTCTGACCATTCCCTTGTAAGAAGGGCATTTTCTTTTATTGGTATTTCCGATTCATGTGTGTGGCACTGAAGATAGCATGTGGTTTTGCGTGTTTCTTGAGTACACTCTATTCATTCTGAGCGCTCTTGGTTTGCGACTTCCGCTTTTTTGCACTCTCTGTATATTTTCATTGCAACAAACCGAAACTGAAGTGCTTGTAAAGCTTGCGATTCGCAAATCTTTTAACCCAGCGCTTTAACATGCAGGCCTCTTCTATACACCACATCAGAGGATGCATTGTTATCATAAACAAATCGTTCGCGCAAACCCCGGATTTAGCGGTGCCACTGTTCGCGTTTCGTACGAAATTGCTGGATAATAAGAAGAACTTTGAGACACAGTGTTGGTCATCATAAAATGTTGGGTTGTTTGGTTGTGAAGATGGTACGTTTGCGGCCATTGCTCATGCATTACCCAGAAGTATAGGGGTTTCCCAGATGGAGAAGGTCGTATGGCGCGGACTTTGCTCACGCAGGATATCACTGGGTCCCAAACCAGTTAAACCACCCCGGCATTTTCAAATCGCTTCAGCTTGTTGAAGGCAAACATGTGACGGCGGAAAGTGTTTATCAGAAGAAAGAAAACTAGGAAAGGTTAAAGGCAGTGTCCCGGCAAAATCTCGCTCCCCCTTTTCACCTCTTCGGGGCCTTCTCGCCATGCTGAAGCAGCGCTTGAATTTGACAAAAATGAGTTTTTCGAAGCTTTCTTTGTCCGCGTTCTTTCCAGATTGCCCTAAAATCCGTACAATAAGTCCGGACTTATCTGCAGTTTCGACGCGAAAAATCGATGAAAAAACGCCCTCTGCGCCGCCAAAAGTCTACCAGATAAGTCCTCCTAAATCCACTATCAGATAAGTCCGCAGCAGATAAGTTCGCTTGTCCTGAGCATGAGAAAGCGGACTTATCTGCAGGACTCTTGGCGGCTCGAGGGCGACTTTTGTTGTCAAGGAAGCGGACTTAACTGTCAGTTCCTTTGCGGACTTATCTGATAGGCGGACTTATTGTACGGATTTTAGGGTACTCTATTTTCAGGTGTTTAAGCCGTACTTTTTTCAAATTTTCAAATGAGCTGCTCAGCCGCTTCATTGTGCTTCGAGAAGCGATCTTTTGCCGCACGATCCTTTCAGGGAATAGGCAGCACGGTCTAGGGTCTTTGATTGCGAGATTCTTTGATGTGTTCGGGCCGGTCGATGTAAGCTAGGAACATCCCGCGGCTTATACACCTGAAATAGGGTACATGTAAGAAGTGAGCGGGGTCTGGAAATGGGCGAGGTCTGGAAGACTTCCGAAGCGGATTTTGGGCTATTTAGAAGCGCTTTTTCGCTACAGACTTCACTGATAGATTAGCTGGAGGGTCTACCATTCAAACGCTGTAAAATCTCGGCATCATTTTGAGGGGACGCTGCCTCTAAGCAGTACCGCAAAGCCTCATGTGTCTCATATCTTCACCAAAGGAAGACAGTTCCCTCCTGCTCGTTTCAGGCAGCTATCGCCCCAGCATGCTTCACGGTGCATCTTTCCACGCAGGCGGATCAGTCCACGAATTTGAAGGAAGTTCTTGCAAAGAAGATACCTGCACATAATGCGAAAGTGAAGGATTTCCGCAAGCAGCACGGCTCTACTGTTATCCAGCAAATTACTGTTGATATGGTTTGTAGCGCTTCGTTTCTCTTTTCTTGAGTAAGTTCGATAAATCTTTGCGAATTGCAGATTTACGGTGGAATGCGTACTATGAAGGGTATGGTAACAGAAACCTCTGTACTGGACCCAGAAGAGGGTATCAGGTTCCGTGGTTATTCGATTCCCGAATGTCAGAAATTGTTGCCAAAGGCGCCAGGAGGTAATGAGCCGCTACCAGAGGGAATTTGGTGGCTTTTGTGCACAGGAGATATTCCCAACGATAAGCAGGTAAATACGATTTCTTCCATTTGTTCACAATATATTTAATGCTCTCTTTTCAGACGTCAGCCATCACTAAGGAATGGAACGCTCGAGCCGATCTACCAGCACATATTGCTCGGATGCTTGATAACTTCCCCGATAATCTCCATCCTATGGCTCAATTTGTTGCTGCTATCGCTGCTCTCAATAACGAGAGCAAGTTCGCTGCAGCTTACTCCCGCGGTGTTCCCAAGTCTAGCTATTGGGAGTACGCCTATGAGGTGAGTGTCATAGCACCTAAATAATCAGCTACCGTACTTATTGTTAGATGGAATTTTCAGGATTCCATGGACCTTCTTGCCAAATTGCCAACGGTAGCTGCTATAATTTACCGCAACCTCTACCGCGACGGATCTGCAGTAGGTGTCATTGATCCAAAGAAGGACTGGTAAGACTAGAACTGCGGCCATTGTCCAGGGGTGGACTGACATTTTTATAGGGCCGGCAACTTCTGCTCAATGCTTGGGTACGATGACCCTCTATTCTCGGAGCTCATGCGTTTGTACCTCGTCATCCACTCCGATCACGAAGGTGGAAATGTGTCTGCTCACACCTCACATCTTGTTGGATCAGCCTTGTCTGATCCATACCTTTCTTTCGCTGCTGCCATGGCAGGACTTGCTGGACCACTGCATGGGCTTGCAAACCAAGAGGTGCTTGTGCTTTCGTTAGAATTCTATAGTTTCCTTGGTTATTTTGTTCCACATTAAGCGCGGGAATTCAGGTTCTTGTCTTCCTAAACAAAATCGTACAAGAAATTGGATTCAATTACACTGAAGAGCAATTAAAAGAATGGGTATGGAAGCACTTGAAGAGTGGACAGGTTTGTGCTTTTTTGTTTTTCGGTGTTCAAATACTAGCTAGTTTTGCTCATCGCCATGGCACCTTATAGGTTGTTCCCGGATATGGTCATGCTGTGCTAAGGAAGACTGATCCACGATACGAATGCCAACGACAGTTTGCTCTAAAGCATTTGCCAAAGGATGACTTGTTCAAATTGGTGTCGGCCCTGTATAAGGTTACTCCAGACATTCTCCTCGCTCAGGGCAAGGTGAGATTTTTTTTTAACAGAGTATGTCATTCAAGCATCTTTCCTTTGTTTATTGCGATTTGATGTTACTGCGAAGTCATGAGCAAATCGGGTAATCAATGTTATAATTTGTCTAGAATGAGTTAAAGTTATGGTCAACATGAGAAGAGAAAATAGTAAATACAATTGTACATATTTTAAGCTGACGTAAAATTCTACAACTTTCTAGTGTTTGGTGATCCCCCCCCCCCCCTTCTTGTTGTATCACTTTTTTCACTCATGACAACGATGCATAATTCAGCTCACTTTTTTTCGTTTAAATTAAGCCCTAATCCTATGTACTTTCAGGCAAAGAATCCATGGCCGAATGTTGATGCTCATTCTGGTGTGTTGCTGCAGTACTTCGGCATGACAGAGATGTCATACTACACTGTGCTCTTCGGAGTTTCGCGTGCTCTCGGATGTCTTTCTCAGCTTATCTGGTCTCGCGGTATGGGCCTGCCACTTGAGCGCCCCAAGTCACACTCCACTGACGGAATTATGAAGCTTGCTGCTGCAGCGAAAAAATAAGCAATTTGATGACAGTAGCTATAGCAATAGACGTACTATGATGACACATGAGTATGACTCTTCATAAATTATTTTTACAGGTTTGAGTTGTTTTTTTTTTGTTAAGTATGCAACGATAGTGTCGTCGTAATATGAGATGATGATAATAAAGACTTTATGAGGAAGGTGCTAGTTTACTCAGAGCGCATTAGATGGCACAGATAAGATTTTATGAGACGGTTTGTTAATCATCAGACACGGAAGGAAAGAGCCGTGTCTCTATTTTTTTTCGCGCGTGCTCGTGTAGTACGCACAGACCGTTCCTTATCAGTAAGTTCTTCAACATTCTCAAAATTTTCGAAGAATAACCGTTGAAACGCGTGCATGTGCGCACATGGACGCCTTGCTAGCATTCATGGATACCTACGCACCAGTGGCGGTCCCAGGAACGCGCACTCCGAAAAAATCTTTGGGATGCTTCTCAAAATTTTTGCGGGTCTATAACCCTAAAATCCTGAAAAAGAGGGCGTGGCTGACGCAACGTCCCCCTCCCCCCCAAAATTTTTTTTACAAGGCTAATTTGAATTTCAAACAATCTTAAAAATTATTAACTATTCACAAGAATAAACAAATCCCTTGCACATTTCTATAACCCATGTAAGAAAATTTCAAAACTTCGCGACCCATTCTCCGGGAGGGGGGCCCGCCCCCTCCCGGAGAATGGGTCGCCACTGCTACGCACCTAGTTTCTCGGGAATAACCGAAAAGTTCTAACATAAAGAAATTTCTATTCGTATTGGTATTAGTGGCTTGATCGTCATACAGAACAGAGGGCATCACGGTAGCTGTTCAAGAGCTTAAACTGCAAATTTACTCAGTCCGTTTTTGTTGTGGCAAATACATGCTACTGTTTTTTTTCGAAGGCACTTTTCTATAACTGTCCTGAGAGAATCAAGGATGAATTTAGACAAAAAAAACCAATATTATAATGCTTCCTCTTGAAGAGAGATTTCCCAAACATAGCCATTGTATTTGCTGGAGGAGAAGAGCGATGCAAAAATCATTATGTGTGTAATTCCTGGGAAGACTCTGTAAGATACATGTACTTTTGTAAAACCTCGCTTGTTCTATAAATAAGCGTCAAGAAGACTCCTATATAATGTTTTCGTGCATACGCGCGTATACACAAGCCAGATGCCCGAGTCAGTGTATAAGAGTTCGCTCAAAATGGTTCGGTCGTCAACTTGTGAACTTCTCCTCGAAAAAAATGTACAGGGAACATTAAGCCAATGTAAATGTATGCTTGTAGATGGGTGTCTTTGGCTCCGAAAGCAATGTGCGTTTTCTATGTTTTGTCGAAGAGACGCCTCCTGTATGATTTGTACACCGAACCATTAATATTAATAAACTACATTCGGATTGGGGAGCACTAGGACAGACTTCACGAATAGATCGCTAACCCCTTTGGATGCTCACAGCAAACTTCGTCATGAAAACGCTACAATCTATTCAGTCGCGTGCTCCCTCTTCCGTAAGCGCAATCGTCACGCCAGTATTTCGCGCAACGTTCGCGCACGTGGCTCGAGCATTCCATCTGGCCGCATCTATTGGAGGTTAGTTCTCACGTGAAAGGGTGTACGTGATTGACACAGACTGTACGTTTGTTTTGTTACCCTTCATAATCGTACGCACGAGCGGCGGCTCAAGACACAGCAGGTTTCATCCCGGATTAGGCGAGACATTCTACGTGGAGCCTTCGCGAGCGCATAGCGCCGGCATTTTGCCAAGCAAAGACTAAGGAGATTGAAGAGACGCAGACGTGGGTTCTCAGCACGATAGGATATACTGTAGCTGCGAAACGGCGCAAGCTATTGCGAGACGGACTCCCGCCAGTCCAATTTCCGCCTAAGGCCCCGGTCAGACTTCACGCGACTTAATCGTCGCGATCTAATCGCCAAGATTTCCATTCATTTTCGTTTCACATTCAAAAATTTCGGGCTGGAAAAGTATCACAACCGAATGCAAGTTGATCTGCATGGAATGGTGTTGTAACAGTTGTCTCGTCGCGATTCAGTCGCGACGATCAAATCGCGTGAAGTCTGCCCGGGGCCTAAAGCGGGTCGAAATTTACTGTCTTTACCTCATATCCGACCTTGATGAGACTAAAAGACTCTCATTCAAACCCGAGTGATGCCCACACTTTCGCAGCACACCCATATACACGCATGACTCCAGCATCGCAAGTTTTCTTAGTTGTTATTAGTGTATAGAGCACCCGAAAAATCGTGACGATCGCGCGACCGCGCAGACACCACGCACTTCCGGCAACCGCATTTTTTTGGTTTTCTTCCCTATTCGAAGGCTTTCTCCTTGCCTATGACAGCATTCAGACACTGAAAGTGACTGTGCTGAGCAGAGGTGAAGCCTTTTTGTATGGGTACTTGATGCTCCTGTGGGGGCGCAGACCGCAGTCGAATCCATCGTCACGATTTCAAAAAAGATCTATGTTGCTTTCTTTGAATCTGAGTGGACTTTAAATCCGCAGTAAATAAATAAAGATCTGAGAAGCACTTGCGGCTTAGGTTTCTATTTAGGACAGTTTTGAAAAAAGAAGCTTTGACCAACGTAGTAATTGTGAAAATTTGCTCAACTTGCGAGTCTTTTTTGATATTCTGGAAACTTACCCTGGCAAAACGAAAGCAATTACTGCACAGTTGTTACATGAGATAGGATTTTTCAAAGCCTTGGAACTACTTTGTTTTTGTTGATGATTTCTGTATCATCAACCAATGAACTCTACATTTTAGATAGCCTATGGAATCCCCGTTGGCTAAATTGTGAGCTACTCACTCTTGAGTATCTAATCACTCAAAAGTGAGTGGTACCTGTGCGCCAGGAGTGTAGCCAATCGGCGGCATCTCCTTTCAAGCACCAACTCCTGTACATTGTACCCTGTACTCGGTTCAGCTCCGCCTTCCTTCGTGTATAAGGAGCCTCCGAATGTATTAGGGGTTCCCCGGTCCACACCGGGGCACCTCGACCTCTTCTTCACGACTAATCTACGCCCGTGCGAATAAATCTATATTCCACAACCTCGTCTACCCCAAATCACTTGGTACCCACCAAATTGGTGCATCGGCCAGTGATTTTCCTTGTATTTCCTCGGCGATTCCTTCTAAGGACCCAGGAAATCAAGGCCTAAGACCCGCGTGGCAGGCTCTATTGCCAACTATTCGACTCTCGTGATTGCTGGTTCACCCACTTTCGCGACTAAGAGTCTTACTAAGCTGTCAGGTCCTATCCACAGCTTAGTAGAGGTTTCTAGCTGACTGACTGGTTCATCCACAGTTAGCGACAGACTCCTCGCACTATCGGCTACTAATTAGCCAATATTCGACTCTAGTAATTGCTGGTTCATCCACTTTTACTAATACGAGTCTTGCTAAGCTATCAGGTCCTATCCATAGCTTAGCAGAGGTTTTCTAACTAATTGACTGGTTCATCCACAGTTAGTAAAAGAAATCCTCGAACTTTTTTGGCTTCCATTAGCCAAAAAAGACTCTGTGATTGCTGGTCCATCCACTTTCACAACAAGAGTCATCTTGCGAAGCTATCAGGTCATACCTATAGCCTAGCAAAGAGGTTTTTCTAGCTGACTGACTGGTTCATCCACAGTTAGCAACAGAAATCCTCGAACTTTTTTGGCTTCCGTAGCCAAAAACACTCTGTGATTGCTGGTCCATCCACCTTCACAACGTGTTTCATCTTGCGAAGCTATCAGATCATATCCATAGCTTAGCAAAGAGGTTTTTCTAGCTGACTGACTGGTCCATCCACAGTTAGCAACAGAAATCCTCGAACTTTTTTGGCTTCCGTAGCCAAAAACACTCTGTGATTGCTGGTCCATCCACTTTCACAAACGAGTTTCATCTTGCAAAGCTATCAGGTCATACCCATAGCTTAGCAAGGAGATTTTCTAGCTGACTGACTGGTCCATCCACAGTTAGCAAACAAATCTCAACTTTCCAAGCTCATTCACGATTGGTTCACCAATCCTGAGCTTTGGATCGTTACATTCACGGGACGGGTTCCAACACCTTACCGTCCAGTACAGCGCACAAGCCAACCAGGCGCGCTTGCTGACAGCTAGTAGACGCTCGGCACTCAATTGCCAGCTCACTAGAAAGCTTCCTTGCAACCAGTAAGGACAGCTATCGTATCGAGGCCAGCCTTGCTGTCGCCCTCAAGCCAAAGCGATCAACAAAAGGAGGATACACACTTCCAAATTGGAACGCTTGAAATCACCACACCAACGCACGACTCTACCCCGTGCAGCGGAAAAGAAAATGGCAGCGCTCCAGCTTTTCAAGATCAGGATTAACAACGCCTGCAAACTCGTGAAATCCCACGAGTCACAAATCGAAAATATTGATGTCCCCTTCACATTCCCCACACTGAAAGAAGAATGTGAACAGTACATAAAAGAGAAAACGGGACGGATAACCAATCTTCTCAACTCTCTACACAACGCAGTGAAGCTTCAAGAGACGCAAATCAACTCCGCGATTGAGTACATTAGCGCACGCAATGAGGAAAAAGAAAGAGACAAACTGATGATGGAGCTCAGCAAGCACCTACAGATGGAGTCACTTGACCTGGTAGTGATAGTAGTGCAGTGGCGGACAAGGATAGAGTTCAGGCAGCATGAACTAAAAGAACAAGACGCACTGCTGCACTGCGATTCTCCGAGCATACCGAGTCAACCAAGTAGTGATAATGGACAAGCTTGGATTCCAGAACGTAATGAAAGGCAGATCAAAATTCGGAAACCTCTGCTGGAAATTCCTACGTTCTCAGGCAATTTCCGAGAATTTAATAGCTTCTGGACCGTCTTCGAATCTCTCATACACACTGACGAGGAGCTATCGGATACAGACAAATTCCTCTTTCTGAAGCAAGCACTGAAGGAGAAAGCAGCAGCCACCTTGAGCTGCATACCCGTTATCGGAGAAAGATATCAGACAGCGATAGATATCTTGAAAAAACATTTCGATCGCTCTGCCAACATGGCAGACATACTCATAAACGAGATCGAAAAACTTCCGAAAGCGTCAGATAACCCGAGAAGTTGCCGAGAAACCTTTGAAGCAATCAATTCGAGAATCATTCATCTTGAACAAACGGGAGCAAAGATGAACACAGACAGACTTTGGCGTCGAATAATCTTCTCCAAATTTCCCGAATTCATCTGTACGACCGCCATCCAGAAAGAAGCGGTACAAGATGACCCATTTGATGTTAGCGAAATCCTGAACACCATCGACAGCATCATTTCACTGCGAGAGACAATCTTGCTAACAACGGAAACTTCCAACCAACTACCACCCAAACAACCAATAAGATGAAAGGATTAGCAGATGCGATAGAGAAGAACACTTTTCGAAACCAAAACGCTTGTGTTTATGTGAACAACCACATTCTCCTCACACCTGTCAGAGGTACACCACACCAGAAGCCCGACGACTTGAAGCAACAAATCAAGGAGAGTGTTGGAGAAGTTTTGCAAGCGATCACAACTCGAACGCTTGCACGAGTTTCGGTGTGTGCCCCAAATGCAAAGGATCACACCATGGATCTCTTTGCTTGTCAGAAGCAGGAAAACGCAGAGGATTCTCGACGCAATCCAGAGGTCCTGCACTTGATCGACATTCACTCGCTCCTTGGTCATCACGTGACATCAATCAGGATCGTCATGAGAAGAGTAATACGCACGTCGTACAAGGCTCACGACAAGAAGTCTACAATCCCGAAGTGCTTCCACTTGCACAGGATCAATGAATTCTTCAAATTGTTTCGGCAACTATATTCAACGAGGCAGAGTGGGATTACCAATCAGTAACGATACTACTTGACTCCGGTGCACAACGAAGTTTCATCAAATCAGGACTTTGTGAAGAACTCAAGCTTCCAGTCCTTCGTACTACTTCGTTTACTACATCTGGAATGGGCGAACAACAAGAGCAGTTCAACTCATCTGAAATACAAATCACCTTGAAAAGTCTCTACAGCTCCGAAAAGCTCAAGAATGTCATTGCACACTAGCAGAAGCTGACTACCGACATGCAGACGGCAAGTCTCACGGAAGCAGACTTGCGATTCATCGATGACGAGAAGCTGATAATCGCTCAAGATACGCTTTCCGCGAAAAGCGTCTCACCCGATCTGACATAGGACAGGACCTTCTAAACCTTGTTATTCTCCACAACGGCAAAGTGCGCAGGCTTCCTTCAGGGCTCCTCCTGACGCCAACCATCTTCGAATATGTTATATCAGGGACCAGCAGCACTACAACCACATCAAGATTCGTTGGCACACTCGGCTGCATATCGACGCTGAAGAAACCACTAAGGAACAACCGCCCAACATTTCCACAACACAAGGAGAGACTGAAGAAACTCAAAGCGCACTCTCATCTCAACAGTACGAACACTCGAACAGAGAAAAAGCCATTATTGCCAAAGCAGAATGAAGGGAAAATCCAAAGGAGAACGATGTCGTCACGAACAAAACTACAACCGTGTTCTTCATCCAGCCGACAACCCAGCTTCACAAGGCAAACGGTCACTGCTTCCATCCTCGCTGGAGCTCGAGCAGACAGACAACGTTGGTTGGCCACGATACGCTCCACGATGAACTCCAATGTTCGCTCCCAATATTGGATAGAATGGCTACCGCAGCGGTTCACAAACAATGAAGCCAAGATTGGGATGACGAACACATCGGAGAGAGGATACCATGAGTACACACATCATGTAAGAACGCCGTCTATCAAGGATATGGTCGTCAACGAAGCAACTACCGATTCAAAATGAAAGGGGAGGAAATGGCGAGGACGACAAGCAGCGCCAAACCGCCCACCAGCTCCAGCGACCACTTCAGCAGCTTTTTCCAGTATAAATCTACGTTAATAATTGTAATCTTGTGTGTATGTTCAAGTTACTTGCAACTCCTACTTCATAGCTCATTTTTCTGTATGTTTAGATATTAACTGATTCGCCAGTCAACCTCACATGTACTACATTTACCAAGATCTTACCAGATCTCACCTTCCTCTCGCTCGCCCGGAGTGTTGATGATTTCTGTATCATCAACCAATGAACTCTACATTTTAGATAGCCTATGGAATCTCCGTTGGCTAAATTGTGAGCTACTCACTCTTGAGTATCTAATCACTCAAAAGTGAGTGGTACCTGTGCGCCAGGAGTGTAGCCAATCGGCGGCATCTCCTTTCAAGCACCAACTCCTGTACATTGTACCCTGTACTCGGTTCAGCTCCGCCTTCCTTCGTGTATAAGGAGCCTCCGAATGTATTAGGGGTTCCCCGGTCCACACCGGGGCACCTCGACCTCTTCTTCACGACTAATCTACGCCCGTGCGAATAAATCTATATTCCACAACCTCGTCTACCCCAAATCACTTGGTACCCACCAAAGTTTTGTCGGACATATGCTACGTTTGTTTTGTGGTGAAATATTTGATAACTTCTCTGCTTACTTATGTCGTACCCTACGGCGAAAGAAACAGTGTTGGAGGCTCAAAGAATAAAAAGAAGATAATCAACTGCTTTGGATCTGCATAGATTTCACAATCAGTTAATGTGTAGTTGTAGATCAACAATGGTGTTTCTCATTTTCAACTGCATTGCTAACCATTAAGGTTGGTGCTACCAATTTTCGTCGCATATAGCTGTTACTCTTTATCGACATTCATAGGATGTCACAAATACAGCATAGTCCTCAATCTGCATCTGCAAGATCACAACGTCAAAGGTGCGTCGTTACCATTTCCATCAAAAGGTGGTTTAAGGCATCGTATATACACTCAAATTCTTGACATCCGTTTCCGCCATTTTTTATGCCTCTGATTCCGAATATGAAACTCAGGACGAAAATTTCGAAAAACCCGTCTTCTGGAGGTGTTTTCGGCAAGTGCGCATTAATACGATGAAGTATGCTCCTTCAACTGCAAGCTGGACGTCTTGGCGTGTCAAGTACAATCGCTGTACGGTATGCGTATCGATCGAGTTTTGCCAGTCAAAACGGGCAAAGCGAGAAATTGCTAGATGGGCGGGATGACCACTTGGGCGGAGTTGACCACCCACAAATCTCCTCCTTTTGAAGGCGCCGTCCACCCAAATTCTCGACTTCTATGTTTTTGTCGCTTTCAGGCCTTCTGAAGGTTCTGCTTCCGAATATGTAGGCCAGAATCCGCGAAATCCCCAAAAACCCCCGTTTTGGAGAACGGTGCAGTGCAAGTCGAGGTGCATCGGCGCTGATATTTGCCCGGCGCGCCGCGCGCCATATGCAAACCTGAAAAGTGGGCGGGGTGACCAGCTGGGCGAAGTGACCAGCACCGATCACGTCCTCCGGAGCATAGGTGCGATAGGGGGAGCCGGGCTCTCCCCAGGTGAAGGGGGTCTCGGCTGTTCCCGACCTTCCAGGGTGAAGGGGGTATGTGAGTCTAGGGGGGGGGAGGAAGAGATAAAAGTCAAAAAAGCGTGGTATGAAGAGCTCTAATTTGTACTTTGTTTTAGGCACAAATTTAAAAATTTACAAATTTTCAAAGGAAATTAAAAAATTTAAAAAAATTGATTATGAAGATCTGTGCTCCTGTTTCACTGCATCGACAAAAAACGAAAGCAATAAGGTTTATCCCAAAAGATGTACAAGTTAGGAACAACTTCATTTCCTGCACATCATCATCACACTATCGCTAACGTCAGAGACAACAAGTTCGCTGCCTGAAAAATCTCCTTCTTCCTCCAAAAGGTCATCGGAGTAGAAGTAGAATTGCGTGCAAAAGCGTTCTGAGTCGAAAATGGATTTGAAACTTTCTTCTTCTTTTAAGCGCTTTTGTGATTTTTTTCCTGGCCCTCTGGTAGCACCAGGAAGTCAGCAGGCAGGTGACCAGTTTCTTCATACCATCTATTATGATATTTCAAAAAGTCATACGGTAACAGCCTGTCTGGACCACTTATACCAATCCTTTAAATGAAGTTTTTAGATAACAATGCGTTTAGTAGAAGGTTGACAAATCTTAAGTACTTGCTTAGATGCTCTATCGTTGTACGACGTCTGCGTTGTATTCTGATAACAGAGTAGATAGAAAACTTCTTTCTCCACCTCTGCCGTGCTAGTCGGAATGGAAACTAGCTTTGCTAGTAAGTCCATCAGATTTTTGCGGTAAGTAATGGGAAAAGAGCCAGATCACATATGCTTTCGCAACACGGGAAGGAAATAGTGCATACTTTTTTGGGCCTTGTCGAACTCTGGCTTCACCTCCTCTGGCATACGTCCTGTTAGCTGATACTGCTCAACTTCTTCTTCAACAGCATCTGCGGATTAGCCGAAAAAAGGAGGTACTGTGCTGCGCGTTGGTTTTTTTTCAATATCATAGGTCATAATGTCACAAGGCGAATAACTTCCAAAAGCATAAAGCACAGAGTTGGGTTCGCACTCCAGCGGGGATCTAAGTGCAGTAACTATGCTTTGTACTAACACCTTCCTTTTGTTCATATCCATGTTTGTGAATTTAGCAGCCTTGAATTCTTCAGCAACCTGAAGATCAGCAATGGAATTTCTGGACCATTTCCTCATTGAAACTAGACAATCTGCTTGGATTCCTTATGCAGGAAATCAGAGAGTTTCGCTCAATTGTCAACTCTGTATCAATGTCGACAACATTTTCGTGGCGTAAGATTCACCTTCTGCCTCGCTGTTGAACTGGAACACATGCGAGTCAACTGCGATTTTGTAAAGTATTCTGCCTGCCGTTTCCTCTTCAAACTGCCAACCTTTCCAAAACATTGAGGGATATTTTAATAACATGTTATTCTTCTGAATGTCTTAGAGTTTTTGATTCATTGAAACCAACCATTCTCTACAAATTAGGTAATATGGGTCTAGAGCGTTTTCACGAAAGTGACCTTCTTCAGCACTAGGTTTGCAGAGTATAGATTCCAGAAATGGGCGGGTTTTTGTGTGAAGGTGTGGAAATTCACCAATCTCCCATAGTTTTTTTGAGTGTGTGCTAATAATGATGGCATAACTGTCAATCAAAAGCGCATTTTTTACCAAAAAAACATAAACATATAACAACGATAAGCACGCTCAAATAAACGCGTTCGCTCACGTTCCCGTTAGTGCTGATAACGATGTCAATCCATAGCACATTTTTGACTATTAAATTGCTCCACCTCGCTCTTATTAGGTCGTCCAGAAAGTTTTTGCGCATGAATTTCAAAATTCATAACTTCTGATTTTTCCAACCGATTTGACTGCTTTCACTTTTATGTGAAAGGGTAAGTCATGCTTTTTACAATGACATCTTATCTGCTTAGTAATGGTCATCTGTTGCATAGATAGGAGCGATAGAAGAAAAATGGTAAAAATTTTGATTTTCTGTGTAGGGTCATAAAAAATCGGAGACTTGCAACAAAAATCGGAGCAGTCGGGACTGTAGGTTTTTTCACCAGCTTTTTCTAACAGTGCAAAGTTTGCGCCGATTGAGCGTCTCCATGAAAAGCTATGATTTTCCTGAAAAATGCCAAAATAAATCAAATTCGCCTTTTGCTTGCTCGGAAATCATAACTTTTCATGGAGACGCTCAATCGGAGCAAACTTTGCACTGTTAGAAAGAGCTGGTGAAAGAACCTACAATACCTACTGCTCCGATTTTTGTTGCAAGTTTCTGATTGTTTATGACCCTACACAAAAATTCAAATTTTGAGTGATTTTGGTTTTGAGCTTCTATCTATGCAACAGATGACCATTACTAAGCAGCTGCGATGTCTTCATAAAGATCATGACTTACCCTTTCACATAAAAGTGAGAGCAGTCAAATCGGGAAAAATCAGAAGTTATGAATTTTTGAAAATCGTGCGCAAAAACTTTCGGGACGACCTATACAATGTGTTGGCTTTTATGGGTTACCGGAGCAAACGATTTTTAGAGCCGGGAAGCAAAGAAGCGCTAACATGTTGTATACCGTTCGAAAGCTGAGATCATGGAGAATCGACTTAGACCGTCGACTTTTTTCTAGGTCTTCTGTGTCGCGGGATATGAGGGATTTTATGTGCTTCAAAAATTAACTGATTTTGTGTCCTCACTTTCTGCTCTCCAAATGAATGCTACGAGAAAATCGACGGTCTACGTTTGTTAATGAAGACTTGCTCTTTAACACCTATAGATAATCAGCAGTGATTAGGTCTTCATTTGGCAGAAATCTGCTGTTGAAAATGACCATGTTTTCAGATAAAATGCGGTGTATCTCTCGGTAGAGGGGGGCTAGAAAGAAATAGACGGTCTAGGTCGAATCCCCTTTTCCTGAGCTTTCGAATGGTATATAGGTTGCTGGACAAAAAAACTAACCAGTCTTCAAAAATGGGGTGGAGATAATTACTATTAGCTTGCTCCAACCCAGCTCCACCAATGTATTGGCTTTTATGGGTTACCGGAGCAAATGATTTTTAGAGCCGGGAAGAAAAGAAGCGCTAACATGCTGTATACCATTCGAAAGCTGAGATCATGGAGAATCGACATTGACCGTCGACTTTTTTCTAGTTCTTCTCTGCCGCGAGATATGAGAGATTTTATGTGCTTTAAAAATTAACTGATTTTGTATCCTCACTTTCTGATCTCCGAAATGCTACGAGGATAAATAAATAATATAAATAAACATAAATACCGTTTCTTTAGTAAATTTATCAGTGTACTTGTTGTTTGAGGTACTTAGCCTGCAAAACCTTTTAATAACGATTTTTATCATATTCTCGTTGTGCCAAGGAAGCTCAGAGTCTAAGAAGTACGAGAAGGCGTCTCACCACGGGGACTTTGGAGCTGATACGCCAACGTGGACGCGCACGAGCCACAGGCAACTACCGACTGACGTCCGAGCTTGCGAAGCAATGCAGAGAAGCGATAAAAGAAGACCTTAAGGAGAGAAGAGTAGCAGTGATGGTTGACGCCGCGGAGGCTGGAAGAAGTATACGCAACGCCCGCCGAAGCTTCGTCAACTTCAAGACAAAGATGACCGCACTTCGTCGTCCTGACGGAACCATAACTGCTTCCCGAATATCAATGGAGAAGGTCATCCACGACTTCTACTCGGATCTTTTTGCGAGCCACGTCCACCTTCCACCATGCCATCTCAAGGAGGACGAGTATGTCGCACCGTCTGTTCTTCCTTCCGAGATTCGTCATGCTATCATGTCGATGAAAAACCGTACAGCACCCGGTCCCGACAGGATTAAGCCAGAACATCTGAAGAATCTTTCGCCAGTTCTCATCAAGACTTTGGCAAGGCACTTCACGCGGTACCTGACGGAAGGCAAGGTTCCAAGGCAATGGAAGACCAGCAAAACCGTGTTGCTGTACAAGAAGGGAGATCCCTGCGACATCGGCAATTATCGCCCTATCTGCTTGTTGTCTGTAGTCTATAAACTCTTTACGCGAGTCATTCTCAACAGGATCGGAAGAGAGTTGGACGAAGGACAACCATGCGAGCAAGCTGGGTTTCGAAGAGGATTCAGCACGATCGACCACATACACACGGTGTCAAGGCTCATTGAAGTGTCACGAGAGTATAAGATGCCGCTCTGTCTCACCTTCATCGACTTGAAGAAGGCCTTCGACTCGGTTGAGACTGAAGCCGTCATCGATGCCTTGAGCAATCAAGGTATTCCGACTCATTACATCAAGATAATTCGTGAGCTGTATAACGACTTCACAACCACCATAACACCATTCTACAAGGACATCATCATTGACGTGAAGAGAGGCGTGCGACAAGGCGATACTATATCGCCGAAACTATTCAGTGCCGCTCTGGAGAACGTCATGCGTAAGTTGGAATGGGACAACATGGGAGTGAAAGTCGACGGCCGGCAGCTACACCACCTTCGCTTTGCTGATGACATCGTATTGATAACACCAAGCATCACGCAGGCGGAACAAATGCTGGCCCAGTTTGACGAAGTGTGTGGAAAGATCGGTCTACGGCTGAATCTAACGAAGACGATGTTCATGAGGAACGGAAGAGTGCCTGATGCTCCTTTCATGCTCAACGGGACGAACATCACCGAATGCTCAAGCTACACCTACCTAGGTCGTGAACTCAATATGATGAACGATCTAGCTCCGGAACTGAGCAGGAGGAAACGTGCAGCATGGGGAGCATATAAGACAATTGAGGACGTAGTGAAGAAGACCAAGAACATCCGGCTCCGCGCCCACCTTTTCAACTCGACGGTTCTTCCTGCTTTGACGTACGCTTCAGAAACATGGACAATGAGAAAGCAGGATGAACACGCGGTTAGCGTCATCGAACGAGCTGTTGAGAGAGTGATGCTAGGAGTGAATCGACTCACGCAAGTGAGGCAAGGATTACGAAGTTCTACCCTACGTCAACGATCGAAGATCAGGGACGCTGCCGCGTACGCCAAGCAGAACAAGATAAGATGGGCGGGCACGTAATGCGTTTCGACGACAACCGGTGGACGAGAGCTGTAACAGATTGGATACCACTGGACGTCAAACGCGAACGAGGAAGACCGCCGACGCGATGGTCAGATATGTTCACGAAGTCCTTTAATGAAGTCCTTCGGAGCGTTCCACGTGTTCCTGGTGCGATACGTAAACATTGGTCAACAATCGCCCGAGACAGGGACGAATGGAGGCATCACTGGTACCCGCTCGTGCAACACGATGATCAACGGGGATACAGGTGACACAGGTGATCATATTCTCAGAGTACAATACCAATCTCAGCCCAGGTGAAGGGGGTCATCGGGAGTTTGGCCTCAAAGTGAAGGGGGTAAGATATCACTCCCCCTATCGCAACTGTGCTCCGGAGCGGATTTCTCGCTCCGAAAGCAATCTTTTGCTGCGCAACTTGGGGTTTGTTTGGGGGACCACGCTAGTATCTTATATATAAAGCTGAATGTCTGTTTGTCTGTCTGTCTGTATGTCTGTATGTCTGTATGTCTGTATGTCTCTATGTCTGTATGTCTGTGTGTACGTATGTTCCGAATAGAAAATTCCATTTCTGAACCGATCGGGACCAAACTTAGCACACATACACTTCGGGCCCCGGCGGGTGTCACAGTCTACTTTTCGTCATCGATCGATATCGATTTTATCGATTTTTTGCAAAATTTGAGCTAGGGGGCTCGATTACCCCCCTCTGCCAAATTCCAGCCCCCTAGCTCAAATTTTGCAAAAAATCGATAAAATCGATATCGATCGATGACGAAAAGTGGACTGTGACACGCCGGGGCCCGAAGTGTATGTGTGCTAAGTTTGGTCCCGATCGGTTCAGAAATGGAATTTTCTATTCGGAACATACGGCGGAGCCGGGTAAGCCAGCTAGTGCCATCATAATCTTGTCAACCCTCGTTCTGGGTGGACGGTGCTTCTAAAGCGCATTTCTCCTTCTGAAGCAACCTTTCGCGACGCAAATTGGGCATCGCGCTAGTGTAGGGACCCAATAACATATGTCACCATAACCTCACCGCCTATTTTGGATGGACGGTGCCTTTGAACAAGCTTCATCATGATGGTAGAAATTGGGCCCAACCGTATATAGTACCATGGATACCTGAACCGTTGAGCGGATGTTGGGAGGCTCTACCTATGCTAGGGCACAACAACATCTCACAAAAATGCATTCTGGCAAGATTCGAACATGAACCCTCTATATACTGTAAGAGGCTCTTGATCGGCGTGGAAAGTATACAGTAGTTGTTTATGATACTGAGCCGTGATCCGAGATTGTTAACAGTTTATTGGCTGACGTTTCGGCAAGTCGCCTTCTTCAGAGCCTGGAATGGACAGAACGACTTGCAAACTATTCGACCAAACGTCTCTGCAGCTATGCAAACAAAACTCTAAGACTTTGGTAGACCGATAGTTAACTGCCTAACCAAACACTCACCTTTTGAAACGCCGATGGAATTCTGATGCCAGAGCGAGAGCAATATGGTTAAACGCTAATGGCACGGCTATTTATAACGTCTCCGCCGGGTCAGAAGATCTGACCTAGGTACGGAGCGAGTTCACGAGTGATGGATAGGCATTCTTCCTTACGATTCATTTTAGGGCTTTTGGCATGGATCCAAAAGGCCTCTAAACATTTGCGAGCCGGTGTATGTGATTCATGCGCCAGGATTTTCTGAGACGTCAAAATTTGTCTCCGCGTGTTTCAGCGTCCTGTGGTGCCTAGTGGGGTGGAGGTTCGTGATCTATCCCTGCCGTCTAAGTGCTCTCTAATGCGAACACATAGCGGCCGCGCTGTCTCGCCTATGTACTCGTCGCCGCAGTTCGCGCAGGTGATAAGATAGATGACCCCCGTCGCCATGCAGTCTCCACACCTACCCTCAGGGCATATAATGCAATTGGGCGTAGTGCAGCCGCGATCATAGATGCGATTGCGGACCAAAATGCTTTTAAGGTTATTAGGGGGTGTTTCCACTATTGCAACTGTATTTTCCAGCCCACATTTCATATACAGTAGTACGCGAAAGTTTGAGATTTCAAAGGCTAGAGTGTTTTGAGCAACATCGGCAGAGATAGTGAGATCCTCAAGGCGGAAGGGTCACGGGAGAAGTTGTACCAACAAAAAAAGATTCCAATATTTTCAAAGGAATCTTACGACATGGTAGAGACGGAGACAGGAACGATATCGAGGTACAGAATCGATGTTGAGGCTTTCTGTGTTTTTCAGGTCATGATGTCCGTGTATTCAGTTAGTTCTTCACATTTTTAGTATCGCTTCAAACGCATAATCAAAATTTCTGTTCAAAAGGAGAGGAGATTATTCCCATCATCAGTTGGCATGAAACATTAGCAGACAATCTAGACCTTAAACCCAGCATTCTCGACATCGCTGACATAGCCATCATCGAACTGACGGAATGCAGAAATTATTTTCTCCAACTGCACCTCACCGAATCGCTGTAAGGAACTGCCTCATTGTTGAATCTCAAGATGCGATAGCGTTGATCTACCTTGTTGTTCCTCGAACGCACATTCACTGTACCATTTTTCATCTCATTTGCTCCCACCACAAGGATGAAATTGAACTGAGCTTGCATTGCCTTTCGGATCTGCTTATTGAAAGTGTCCGAGCAGTGTTCTTCGTATTCCACCTGTGTAGAACAGTTGCTGTAAATAAGTAATTCAACATTCATACGGCACAAGCCCACCTCAAATCCCTCAGCATAGAGTTTCCGCTTTACTTCTAGAGCATAAGAGTCGAGAGAATCTTCAACAGCGATGACTTTCGCCTGAACTCAGTAGGCTAAAAAATAATCCCAGCTTCAAACGCACTTCCTCCGATAACGTTGTGTGCAGGCTACTTCTTCTGTGAAAAGCAATATGAAAGAATTGAGTAAAACTAAGTGCACGAGTATAATTTAGGTTACACAATTACTCGTTTGCTTATCAGAGTAGTTATACGCTTAGTTGACTCAAAATCTCAAATTTGCTCAGAATGCTTAGAAAATTTCATCATCTGATTACGAATGCGATGTCGGAGGCGTCCAAAAATCTTTTTGCAAGGCCTAGTGCGATGATCCTTTTATCGAGCGAATAGCCTGAGCTAATAACATTTTGGTTAATATGCTGGAAAACTCCTATATATAACTGTCAAATTTGAGGTTTGATCCACTCATCGTGTACCCATGTTATCAAAGAGGTGTTTCCGTACGAAATCCAAATGATATTTGTGATCAGCATGTCGCATACACCCCTCCCCCTGGAAGCTATAACGTTAGTGAGCAACATTGCAATTGCGCATGGGTTTTTTTTTTCGAGAATTTAAATAGAAAAGTCTTAAAAAATAGAAATTGCAAAATCCAGTTGAGGTGAAATCATGAGGACACTTTTAGGCGCTTAAAAATTATTACAAAGAAGGTTATTAATAGCTTGTATAGATATTTTCAATCAACAGTTTGTATGCTTCGCTATTCAAGTGATAAAATGCGCCGAGCCAAACGACTTGGGCTATCCCGGATAGTATGGATGAAGGAAATAAATCAAATCACCTGACGAGGAGATAACCAGAATGGCCACCTTCCAGCGCAGTTCTCTGCCAGTACAGCGATCATCCGCTCAAATGAGCCTAGTATCGCTCGGTGAATCATCACTGGTCTTTCCTTTTCGCCTTTCTCACTGTGACGACGTTTGAACTACTAAAATAATGAAAAGTCTTGCTAGAAAAACCTGAGATAGCTGAGATCAAATCGTTGCGGTAGCTGGAAGTCGAGCTGAATTGTCGCGCATTGATGGCTTTCGTCCTAGTGAGTCTTTGATGGTAATGTCGATCTGCACATACAGCTGACTAGAGCAGGGTAGAAAAGGTAAGCTGGGGCAACCTTAGGCCCATAGAAAGCTCCATCTCCCTCTTTGAGCTGCCACGGCTTGCCACATAATTCCAAAGCTTTGTTCAGTGTCAATTCAGCTTCATTCCATGTCTGCATTGTTCTCGCTAATGTAATTATCTCACTATACATAGGAAAAACTCACCTCGATATTGCCGAGAAATTTTTCCGGACGAGTCGATAGATTGAGCTCGAACGTGAAGCCGAATATTTTTTCGTAACAATAAGAAAGGAAATCCAAACAGCCCTGAAATCAGTTAGACTGCGTCCAGAGTTGCCTGAGCTAACGCCAGCGCCTAGCAACAGCGTGCCAGTGCCATCGATCGATTCGGGAAGGATCCACGTCAACGCTGGCACGGCACTAGCACGGAGTTGGTACAAAGGGCAACTCCGAAGGCAGCCTAAGCAAACTTTGTCTAATTTTTTTCCTCTTACTTCTATCTCTTCTCGAACTTGATCTCTTCGACAAAAAATATGAGCATCGTCCTGCTGGAAACGTCGCACCCCGTGTTACACCAGTAATTGCGCCAGACGACTCGTTTCTGGAAAGTTTAGCTTTTTGGAAACTAACATTTTGTGAGGAATTCGCTGTCACCTATGTAACACTCCAAAATCCGCGAATCGCAATGGTAACTCTTTATGAGTGCGCGGTTCATGGTTATACATGAGGACAGTGCCCAGGACAATTCATCGGCTTCAAACCGATGAGCTCATCGTCAACTTTGAACCTGGAGGCAACAAAAATGTCTGCGGGAGAAATTAGTACAGAGGCTGCGTCCAGAATTGCATGTGCAGCGCCGCGTCCAAAGCCATGTACCTACCGCGGAGTCTTGTACTGTTGGATCAACGCTCCGACACGACGCTAGCACGGCGCTGGCACGCACAACTTTTAATGCAGTCAGAAAGAGAGAAAGGACTTACTGGTACATATTATCGCTATATTGGGTCCCCAATGTCCGGACATTTGCCATAATTTACAGTTGTATAAATTCGGTGTGATAACCTAATAAACTTCATTTGCAATTAATGGAGCTCAATGACAACTTACCTCAGTGAAGCCGCGTTTTCTATACTCCTTCCTTAAAAAGCCCATTAGTTTGTTGTATATGTGAGCACCTTTCGGGTACCAAAATGCTGACCCAGGCGATAGCGGGTGAAAAAAGAAAAGCTCTTGATCGCATCCTATCTTACGATGATCAACCTGAGATATTCAAATTTTAAAACATTGTCTATGTGCAGAAAATGGCAGATGTTCAAACTTGGCTCTGTTGAACGGTTTTAGACGGTGGTGCGACATCTGCACAATTTCCATGTTGCTTTTATGTTTGCCTGGAAATCGTCGTTTCACTCCACCACAATTGCAGTCAGATATCAAGTAAGACTAACCTTACTGCACGACATTTTGGTCCACGAACTCGAGCGAATTATCGACGTCAAGTACAGTACCCACACTAATTATTCGACAGAAAACGCAAAAACTGACGATCCGCGTTTTTTTCGTTTTTTCTTCATAACTTCCTTCAAATTGCATAAAAATACAAATCCGAAGAAAGCATGATGCTCAGCTCGTCAAGATGAATTTTCTGACGTACTGCACTCTCGTACTATTCTGTTTTCAATCTGCTCGATTTTTGTGTGAGGACGGGTATTCGTAGTGGTGTAACTCAGCGAAGAACACACATGGACGATTTATGTAAACATGGTTCAGTAGTGCTGTCCCCGTAGATTATCATGTACTAGTGAGTAGCGAAGGATTCCCTTTCCATAGGGAAAGATTGGCCGTTTAATTTTCAAAAATAGATGTCTCTCAAATTTTGGTTACCGTAACCATACCGTAAGACGCTAACTTGCAAAGCAGGTGCGTTTTTTCGTGATCAGCAGGCTAAATAACCCCTATGCGCAAGTTTTCCGAGGAATTCGGGCTCTTTGATTTCTTCTCGTTCTAGGCTCTTAAAGCTCGCCGACGGGTTTTGGCTAAAATATTGATGATCTTGGATTGACCGGAAACTTCGCCCATAGAGGTTTTCGGACTCGCTGATTACAGAAATAGTGCCCTCTGTGCAGCATAAGTTCATTCGGCAGAGTTATGCTGAGAGGAATGCTGCGATACTACGCAAGTTCCTAAATTTGTACGCCCTTTTCGCGTACCTATTGGAAAACTTACCTGATCTTCTTTGTAATTTGAAATCACTAGAGACGGTACTTTCAGAGCATGCCTAAGCTAAGCCCTTATCTGTATTGATCGCCGAACTGTGAGCTGACGAACTCACGTCCCTCATGAAAATCGTTCGAAATTTTAAGATCGCATATTTTGGCAAATATCGCCGCGAATGGTTACAGATGACTCTTATTGCAGATATTTGTTTACACATGTGAATTGATAATTTATGCCGCATATGCTGCTTACTCCTTGTGCCAGACTCCCTTACTCTTACACCTGTAACTCAAAGTTTGCAAAAAATCGATAAGCCGATATCGACCGATGACGAAATGTAATCTATCAGACCAGCTCGGCTCCTAAGACTGGGTTCATACTGATTCTCATGTTCCGGAACTGAGTAACTCTGCGTTGATACCACTGCTT